ACGGGATCCCGGGCACAGGTCTGTGCCCTCGCTGTGTCTTTAGGTCCTGGCCTCGCTGTAGCTGGCAGGACGGTCTTCTGATCTAGGTCCGTGACCTCGCTGTGTCTTTAGGTCTGTGGCCTCACCATGTCTGCGGGACGGGAACCCGGGCACAGGTCCGTGGCCTCGCTGTGTCTGCTGGACCGGAACCCGGGTGCAGCAGCAGCCACAGTGTTGACTGGCTCTGGGTCTCTTCTCAAGGCTGGGCTAGGGAAGGGGCCCTCCAAGCTCATTGGGGTGTTGGCAGGACTCTTCTTGTGGGTCCAGGCCCTGCCCCTGGCGTGACCGCTCGTTTCCTCAGTGCCAGCAAGGGACAGCCAGCTGGCGCGCCAGACACCAGAGCATTTGTGGTCTCATCAGGGAGGTGGCACTCACCCAACGCCAAGGTCTCTGCTGCTAGCTGCAGGCTCCTTAAGGGAGGGGCCACAGGACCACGGCTCAGCTGGAAGGGCACGGGGCCAGCCCTCTGGTGGGTCCGTTTTTGGGAGGGGTATGAATGCACGTGTACACGGGGATGCGTGTGATACGTTGTTCTGGAAGGCGTTTACGTCTTCTGTCAGACCCTCCAAGGTGTAACGGAAGTCCAGCCGAGCTTCCCCTTCCGTGGCCGGGTGCTCCCAGGAGAGGTCTCGGGACCAGTGGAAATAGCCCTTGTTCTGAGCTCTGTCTACAGGTGGGATCCTCGGGCACCTTTATGGATTCTCTCCTGACCTGCCCAGCAGGCCTGTGCGCTGGGGCTTGGGTAGGATGGAGAGGCCCAGCCTGCCAGGACCTGAGAGGGTCCAGGAGCTGAGCAGGGGGTTGGTGAGCAAGGATAAGGGGTGCACAAGGGTCTGCACCCCCCCCCCAAGGCAACCCAGGACTGCAGGGAGGATGCTCACACCTCACTGAGGGCCAGGCTGGGTCACTGCCAGCAGCCACCAATGGCATTCCTGGTAAGACTGCGATTCCTCCCAGGGAAAGGGCAGAAGCTGTGGATGTGCTCCTGGTGACGTTCAGCAATGTCTGGAGACGCTGTGGGCGGCAGCTACAGGTGCACCCTTCATCTAGTGGGCCATGGTGGCAAGGCTGCCAGCGGGCAGGTTCCTCCTGGCAGAGAGGGGTTCAGGCAGGACACCCTGGCCTAATGTCCACCCCAGGAGCACACCCGTGATCCCTGAGCCCCACAGCAAGCCTTCAAGTGGGGCGCTGAGTGCACCCTGTGTGCTCTGTCGAAGTGGTCTGTGGCATGTTGATATAAATTCTGGCCTCAGCCTGTCCATTTCTACAAAGACCCTGATTGGTGACTGCACCTGCGATTGGTGATGCTCCCATGGGCTTGTCGCCTGGTGGGGATCCCCAGGCTCTGTGCGGGGAGGAGGAAGGCCCAGGCTCTGTGTGGGGAGTGTGGGGACCCCCAGGCTCCGCGTGGGGAGGAGGGACCCCCCAGGCTCCATGTGGGGAGGAGGGACCCCCAGGCTCCGTGTGGGGAGGAGGGAGGCCCAGGCTCCGTGTGGGGAGGAGGGAGGCCCAGGTTCCGTGTGGGGAGGAGGGACCCCCAGGCTCCGTGTGGGGAGGAGGGAGGCCCAGGCTCCGTGTGGGGAGGAGGGACCCCCAGGCTCCGTGTGGGGAGGAGGGACCCCCAGGCTCC